TGAATGGGCATAAGATGTAAAGTAGACCATGAAAAATGCGGTCATCCTAAATTTGTACTGGAAGCATCAGTATTAACTCCTAAGTTTGTTTTTTTAACTCTGGCAATGAAAGATTTCTACAGACAGATATTAACACCAACCGAACAGCATAAAAACACCTACTGCTCAGAAGGTGGTCAATTTCTCAAAAAAAATCCCCAGTACTTTTGCGGGGAAATTATGGATTCTAAAACTGGGGGAGAAAGTACAAGCTGGGGCCTGGATATCTTTACTAATAGCAAAGAAGATAGGGTCTTGGCAAAAAAGCTTGGGAGCCAGGCTGAATAGGTTCCTGCTGGCCCAAAATGGGACAGTTTAGGCATCATTAAAAAAAAATAACTATAATGGATTGAAATATATCACATATGTTTAAATCCATGATTTCGGAATAATATCAAAACAAACCAATTATGAGGTCACCACTGGAAGAGGCAAGTGGACCAACTCATTATATTAAAAACTTATAAAGGGAAAGCCTTAATTATCTTGCTTTTCTTGTACTGCCTGTATGTACCACTTGTTAACCAACAGCTGATGAAAAGTTTCTCTTTAAAGAAAGAAGTATTAAGGTTAATAAAGACAGAGGGAATAACAGACTATCACCACTTTTCAAGCCCCATAAGTTAATGATGCAGGCACTTATCGCCCAAGGCTACTAACATCATAAAAAGAAAGACAACCAGGCATTAAGTGTCTTTTTTTTTTTTTGAAGATTTTTATTTATTTATTTGACAGAGGGATGAAGAGAGCACAAGTAGGCAGAGCTGCAGGCAGAGGGAGAGGGAGAAGCACGCTCTCTGCTGAGCAGGGAGCCCGACGTGGGGCTCAATCCCAGGACCCTTGGGATCGTGACCCGAGCCAAAGGCAGAGGCTCACTGAATGAGCCACCCAGGTGCCCCTAAGTGTCTCTTGAAAGAACAGAGTATCACCTAATTTGTTCAAGTCTATAGATCCATTTACCACTTTTAGGAAATAGAATACTCAGTTTGTTCATCAAATAAACTGCAAAAAAAAAAAAAAGAGATGAAGGAAGAAGTGATAGCTTAAAAGAGATTTAGAAGACATAAACCAATCAAAATTTTGTGAATTGTATCTGAATCCTGACTTTATACAAACGGTAAAAACAAAACCAAAAACTTGTAATGTATGATATAATCCAACAATTTAATTTCCATATGTACATATCTATCCACAGATACACACACACACACAAAACAAGATCTCAGAGAGACACTCATATATCCAGGATCATAGCAGCATTATTTACAAAACTAAAGGGTAGAAACAACCCAAAAGTCTGTTGGCAGATGAAAGGATAAACAAAATGTAGTCTATACACAATGAAGTATTTTTCAGCCTTAGAAGAAAGGAAATTCTTACAGACGCTACAACATGGATGAACCTTGAGAATATTATGCTGAGATAAGCCAGCCACAAAAAAGCAAAAACTGTATGAATCTACTTATATGAAGCACTCAGAGTAGTCAAATTCACAGAAACAGAAAGTAGAATGTTGGTTGCCAGGGACTAGGAGGAGAGGGATATGGAGAGTTGTTGTTTAATGGGCGTACAGTTTTAGTTTTGCAAGATGAAAAAGTGTTAGAGATAGGTTACCCAACAGTGTAAATATACTTAACATTACTGAACTGTACACTTAAAAATGGTTTACAGTGTGTATTTTACGATAATTAAAAACGCATTATGTGTGAATATAGATACAAAAACCTCAAGGAAAGACTAGCAAATCAAATCAAGCATCATATAAAAAAAATTATACACCATGTCCAAGATTTATCCCAGGAACACAGGTTAGTTTAACATTGAAATCAATATAATACATAACACTGATAGAAGATGAAAACCACACCATCATTTCAATAGATAAAGAAAAAGCATTTGACAAAACCGAACACATCTTCACAACGAAAACACTCAACAAACTTGTAACAGAGGGAACTTCCTCAACCTGATAAAAGGCAAACCTAACAAGACACTTAATAAGTGAAAAACTGAAAGCTATCTCCCTAAGACCAGGAATAAGACAAGAATATCTGGTTTTACCACTTTATTTACCACTGTACTGGAGGTTTTAGCCAGGCACTTGAGCAAAAAAAAAAAAAAACAAAAACAAAAACAAAACAAAACAAAACAAAAAAAAACGAAAAGGAAAAGAAAAGAAAGGCATCTAAATTGGAAAGGAAAAAGTAAACTACCTCTATTTGCAGATAACCTATTGTATATAGAAAATCCTATGGAGTCCACCTTCACACATAAAAAAAACTTTTAGAGTTAATAAATGATTTCAGCAAGGCTTCAGGACACATGATCAACACACAAAATCAATTTTATTTCTATACCCAAGCAATGTATACTCCAAAAATGAAAGAAAACATTTTCCCTTAAAATAGCACCAAAAAGACTAAAAAACTTAATAAATTTGTCAAAAGAAGTGCAAGACTTGCACACTGAAAACTATAACACATCACTCAAAAAAATTAAAGAAGACATAAATATATGAAAAGAAACTTTGCGTTCTTGGATTGGAAGATGAAATATCATTAAGATGGAAACACTCTCCAAAAAAGAGAAGTAGATTTAATGCAATCCATATCTTGCTTTTCTTGCAGAGAAAACAAACTAACTCTAAAATTTATATGGAAATGCAAGGGTCTCTGAATAGCCAAAACAGTCTTAAAAAAGAGGAACAGAGTTAGGAGAATCACATTTCTTAACTTCAAATTTTATTACAAAACTACAGTAATCAAGACCATATGATACTAGCATTAGAAAAGGCATACAGAAAAAAAAAAAAGAAAAGGCATACAGATACAAATCAATGGAAGAGTTGAAAGTATAGAAATAAAGCCTTATATCTGTGGTATATTTTGACAAGGGGCACAGAGACAAGACAGAATGGCCTTTTTCAACAAATAGAGCAGAGACAACTGGATATCCACATGGAGAAGAATAAACTTGGAACCGTACCTCAAACTATATGTAAAAATTAATTCAAAATAAATCAGACATATGTATGTGACAGTGAGACTATAGAACTCTTAGAAGAAAACAGAGGAATAAACCTTTGAGACCTTCAGTTTAGGCAATGACTTCTTAGGACACCAAAAACATATGTGATTAAAAAAATATATAAACTAGACTTCAACAAAGTTAAAAAAACTTCTGGGCTACAAATGATATAATCAAGAAAGTGAAAGAACAGCATGGAAGAAAACATTTGCAAAATAAAGATCTACAAAACACTTGTATTCAGAGAATATAAAGAAGGCAATATAAAGAAGTCTTACAGGTCAATAAAATGACAAAAAAACTGAACTGAATAAAAGGCAAGGGGCAGCTGGCTGGCTTAGTCGGTAGAGCGTATGACTGCTGATCTTAGAGTTTTTAAGTCTGAGCCCCACGTTGGGTACAGAGATTATGTAAAAATAAAATCTTTAAAAAAAATAAAATGAAGGGCATAAGATTTAGACAATTCTCAAAAGATATACAGATGAATGGCCAAAAACACATGAAAAAAATGCTTGAGATCATTAGTTACTTGGGAAAAGCAAATCAAAACCATAACAAGATACAACTTTATGTTTAGTAGGACGGCTAAAGTAGAAAAAAGACAGGGTGCCTGGCTGGCTCAGTCAGTGGAACATGTGACTCTTGATCTCCGGGTTATGAGTTTAAGACCCATGTTGGTGTAGAGATTACTTAAAGTAAAAAAACAAAAAACAAAAAAAAAAATGATAGTAACATGTGTTGACACCCAAGAAAAATGAAAACATATTCACATAGAAACATATACACAAATGTTTATGGTACCATTATTCACAATAACAAAGGAGTTGAAATGATTTAAATATCCAAGAATAGATGAATGGATAAATAAAATACAGTATATTCATACAATGGAGTATAATGCAGCAACCCACCCAAAAACAGAGAGAGAAATGAAATACTGATACATGCTACAGAATGGATCTTTAAATATTATGTTAATTAAAGAAGCCAATTACATAGAAGACCAAGCTGTATGATTTCATGCATATGAAAGGTCGAGAACAGGTAAACCTATAGAGACAGAAAATAGATTAGTGGTTGCCTTAGGGCTGGGTGGAGGGGAGGTTGGAGACTGTATCAGGGAAAACAGGTATGGGGTTTCTTTTTGAGGTGATGAAATGCTCTAATATAAGCAGTGATGACTGCAAAACTCTGTGATACACTAAAAACCAATGAATTGTACACTTTAAAAGGGTAAATTTTGTGGTATGTGACTTATATTTCAATAAAGCTGTTCTAAAATAAAAAAAGACTTAATATGAGACAAATGGAAATTTGACTACAGGTTATTTGATAATATTAAGAAATTGTTAATTATACTTATATGTGATAATGGTATTATGATTTTGTTTAGAAGTACACTCTGAAATATTTATAGACAGAATGATCTGATGTCTAGGATTTGTTTCAAATACCAGGAGAGTAGGTGAAACAATATGGTACATGTTGTTGGGTCTCAGTACTCAACATAGTGTTCTATTTTATTGTATTGTCTACTCTTGTGTATGTTTGAAATTTTCTATAGTTAAAAGCCAAAAAAACCCAAACCAAATGAAAGGCATTTCTTAGATCATATAGGTTAATTCACTTCAGTAACCTTAGTGCCACCAACAATGCTAACATTTCACGATGGCTTAATATAAAAAATAATCTTAAGGTTAAAATTTCATGATTCCCCTTTTGATTCCTGGAATGTAATTCAGAGTCTGTGTAGAATACAATAAGCTAGTAGCTTAACTTCCATGACTTTTGTTATTGTTGTTGTTGCAGCTCAAGTTCTTACATTAAAAAAGAAGGTGATTTCACCACAGCTGTTTTCATCAAGAACAGGTCTACCAGGATTCTCCAGTTGAGATGCTATTGTTCTTGGCATCCCACCCCACCTGACTAACAGATGGAAAGTTCCCCTGTACCTGCTAAGCACTCAAGAATTAATATGATAAGGTGGTACTAGCAAACAGTTTCTGTAAAAGACCAGTTAGTAAATATTTTGGGCTTTGCAAATCATATGGTGCCTGTTACAACTTCTGAACTCTGGTATTTTAGTGTGAGAGCATTCATAGACAATATGTAAACAAATGGGCATGGCTGTACTCCAATAAAACTTTATTTACAAAAACAAGTAGCAGGCCAGATTTGGCTTACAGGCAATATTCGCCAACTCCTGTGCTAGGGATTATTGGCTCTTGTCAGGGAATTAAAAAGAAAAAAATATGGTTTGCCATATACACTGATAACAAAAATCATCATGTTGAGAATACACATATGTACATGAAGTGCAATACTTACAGGTGTCTGGATCATCATGGCTCGTTGATCTCTCATTGTTCTTACAATGTCTAGTGGATAAACTGGTTGATTGCATTCAATGAGACACATGGCTGTTTCCATAGTAATAAGAACCCCAGTTCTTCCAATTCCAGCACTAAAAAAGACAAATAAGGGGCAGTCTCATTGGTACTATTCTGTTAAACTTCTTGTGGCTTTTGTGCTGTACATTAAAGTACTGAGATACAACAGAAGAATTACTTTATTTTTTTCAATTAGCAGTAATTGTGCCTTGGATAAACCTCATTGGCTACGATACTGCCATTGCGCAAAGCTTATTATTTTATTTATTTTAAAGACTCCATTTATTTTAAAGACTCCATATTTTACAGACAGAGATCATAAGTAGGCAGAAAGAGGGGGAAGCAGGCTTCCCGCTGAGCAGAGAGCCCAATGCAGGGCTTGATCCCAGGACCCTGAGATCATGACCTGAGCTGAAGGCAGAGGCTTAACCCACTGAGCCACCCAGGTGCCCTAATAATATGATTTTAATTAAAAGTTTTATACTATAAAAGTAGAAAGCCAACTAAAAAATACTTTGTGAAATTGAAACACATTTTATACTTAATACAGATTAAATGGTTTGTATCTACCCCTTTCCCACTTTAGTTGTAAAAATGTTACTGTAAAATTACGCTTCAGTTTTTAAAATCCGAACAAGGTATATACACTTACTGGAGCAGCCTCTCTTTAAAATGCAAAATAACAGGGCACCTGGGTGGCTCAGTCATAAGTGGCTGACTTTGGCTCTGGTTATGATCTCAGGGTCCTTGGATGGAGCACCACATCGGGCTTCCCACTCTGTGGGGATTCTGCTTGTCCCTCTGCCCCTCCCCCTGCTTGCACTCTTTCTCTCAAATAAAGAAAATCTTAAAAAAAAATAAAATTCAGGACGCTTGGGTGGCGCAGTTGGTTAAGCGTCTGCCTTTGGTTCAGGTCATGATCCCAGGGTCCTTGCTCAGAAGGGAGCCCACTTCTCCCTCTGCCTGCTGCTCCCCTTGCTTGTGCTTTCTCTCTCCTCTTGAAAAATATGCAAAATTAAAAAAAAAAAGCAAAATAATAAAATTACAATAATAAATCATTAACAAATGTACAAAAGACAGTATTTTCCACACTCAAATCAGTTTTTAAAAGCAAATCTAATTTTTATTAAGTTTTATAATGGGATAGTCAAGAACAACTTTTTGAAGTATTCTCTGTGAACAAAATAGCTATAGTAGCTGTTGGGAACTTAGAATAATAAATGGCCAAATGTGTTAATCAATCCCGCCTTGTTGCCTCTCAGACATTTTTCTTTTTTAAAGATTTTATTTATTTATTTATGAGAGAGATGCCTCTCAGACATTTTTCTTTTTTAAAGATTTTATTTATTTATTTATTTGAGAGAGAGAGAGAGAGAGAGAGAGAGACAGAGATCACAAATAGGCAGAGAGGCAGGCAGAGGGGGAGGGGGAAGCAGGCTCCCTACTGAGCAGAGAGCCCGATGTCAGGATCAATCCCAGGACCCTGAGATCATGACCAGAGCCAAAGGCAGAGGCTTAACCCACTTAGTCACCCAAGCACCCCTACCTCTCAGATATTTGGTCTACAATCTGTTTTGATGATTTGAAAGTCTGCTGTTAAAAAGTGCTGGGAAGGGGCACCTGGGTGGCTCAGTGGGTTAAAGCCTCTGCCTTCGGCTCAGGTCATGGTCTCAGGGTCCTGGGATCGAGCCCCGCATCGGGTTCTCTCTGCTCAGCAGGGAGCCTGCTTCCCCCTCTCTCTCTGCCTGCCTCTCTACTTGTGATCTCTCACTGTCAAATAAATAAATAAAATCTTTAAAAAAAAAAAAGTGCTGGGAAGTTTAAGGATGAGGAGATACCTTTATTTCTTCAGAGGCATCAATACAGCTTCTGAATAAATCACTCTAATAACAGAAGTGGCTAGAATAAGGATAATTTCAGTTTTCCAATCTGAGTTATAGGAGTGAAGGCTGGAGTCACTGTATCTAGCTGTTTAGAAGGTAGAGTATGAAAGGAAGAAAGGACAGCCTACGCTGTTCACCTGGAGCTCTTGGGAGTGGCCAGTCCGAGGGAGAGGAGATGACTTAACAAATGTCCTGGGATGGGCCACAGCGTGGGTTGTAGTAGTACACTGTGAGGAGGAAATCTAAACCTTAGGCTGCAACTGAATGCCTAAAATATTGGACTTCATCAAATCTAAGCTACCATCCATTGTAAGACACCCAGTGTCTGAGATGTTAAACTATGAAAAAGAAAAGCTTCTAAGAATCAGTCAATGAAGTATTATTTTTACTTTTTATGATAAAGATTCTGACAATCACATGTTGGAACATACCCTTAGCCTTCTAGCTTCAGATCATAGCTTTGGGTTCCCTCTAATTACCACAGTGAGGATCACAAGTTAAGGGCAAAATAAAATACCCATTCCCTTTTAAAAGTGACTTACCAGGTCAACTATTCAATCATAAAAAAGAAAACAGCATACCTGCAATGAACAACAATAGGTTCTTCCTTGCCAGCCCTCTTATTTCGTACATGACAAACAAAATCCAGAAAGTCACTTGAATCATCAGGAACTCCATGGTCAGGCCAGGCTATGTACTGAATCTGAGTGAGTTGACGACTCTCATTTTTCTAAGTGTAAATGAAAAATTACGCACCTTAACTTACGAATTACCTTTAAAATATAAATATTCGTGTTTTTTTAATTTTAGAAGAAAAGCAAAAGAAACTACTCCCAGTACCCCCTAAAAAGTAATGTATAACTTCAATAAAACCCAAAATTTCAATGAAAAAGAAACTATTTTATAGAAACAGTTGTGTCTATTAATTGACAGCTACTCTTTGTATCACTACTCTTCTTACAACTCAATTTCTGCATTTGTATTTTTCAGATGAGAAGCAAATAAATAGGCAAAAACAAGTTAAGATACAGAGAAATGTTTAAAGAAAACTAAAAAAGTGTTAGGTGAGCAAAAATTGCAGGGAAAATTTTTTTAACAAGCGAAGTTGGGCTAATTCTAAAAAGCACCTGAAATAATGAAGATTAAGAAAATAAAATCTCAAAATAAATGTAGATTAAAAACTGGAGACCACAAAAACACAAAGTCAAATCAAGGCTTAATTATTTTTTGGAAGCCAAGAATCAGTAAAATAGAGAAAGGTACTACTGAATGTATATATCTTGGTTTAAATATTGACTCTGCTGGTTAAGGCACTTAATATTTCAGAGCCTTATTTTCTTCAACTGAAAAACAAAATAACATCTATACATCACAGGGATAGTGTTATGTTGAAAGGATTCTATGAGAGGACCTCTAAATCACCCAATCAGCTGTCTGGAACCATATTCTCAAAAACTGGTAGCTATGGTCATTCAACACTATGAAATCTGGTTACTGTCATTTACATTGAAGGAGGGTTCCAAAAAAGACCAGTAAAGTACAAGGTAATTAAGAAAAGGACTAATGAATGAATTCCTAAAGAGACTCAGTATAACTTGATGACTAATTTTTCAGAATCCTGTGTAATGAATTGAAGGTATCTAATACAGACTGCCTTTGATTATTACTGTTAACAAAAGAAATTAATGGTATCAATAACTGTAAGACTGGGTAATGTTAAATGGATATTTATTATGTTCTGGGGTATGTCTGTCTGTTTATCCATCTACGTATCTATGTATTTGGTATGTAAAGAAATGTATTTTCCCAACTGTATTTGTCTCAAACTTTAAAAACTAATTTGTGTCTTGGCATAGTTTGCAAAGTACTTAGCGTTTACAAAGAAAAGCCACTGTAAGTTTATAAACTGCCATGGGTAACCTATTGGTGGAGCATAAAGAAATTACACTGAAGATATAAGTATTATTTTGTAGGGCCAATATACAGCCTTTGATACCCATTTGGGAAAATGAAGAAATATCTTATTGATTTATCTTGTTACACTGGACCATGAGCTAGCTACACAAGCCCTAAATCCATTCTGATGGAATCTCTAGTTCTTAAGATTTCAAAAATTTAATTTTTTATTTCTTGTAACTTTGCTTTATTCAATGCCAGATTCCTTTATTATAAATCTCCACAACTTCTGATTCCTTCCCTTTGGGTCAGTAAAGCTCTGTCTTGCTGGGCTCCTTTATTCATACTCAGGGAAGTGCAGTGGGATGGGGAGGGGAATATGAAGCTTTCATTTCCAAAGGCTAACCATAGATGGGACAGGCATGGGTATTCAAAGTGTGTGCTATTTGCTCTTCTTTAGCAATTACTTTTTCTTCTTCTAACCCCCTTCAAAACCAAAGGTGACAGGGGAATATCTAGCTGCAAGCAGTGAAAGTGGAATGTACTGTCTTAACAGCCTGACAAGACTGACAACATGCCATGCTCTTCACTCATCTTCCAACTGAGTTACTAAGCCATCATTTACTAATCAGTTTCCATTTCTGGCTCTGGATTTGGAAGCCAAAGAGGAGTGACTCAGGTGGCAGTAGAAACTAACAATTACGAAGCTATAATCTGCTGTCAGAAGATCGTGCCTACAATCATTTCCTTCTTAATACTGGGGAGACTGTGAGATTGCACTCCTTTATCCTTTTACAAAAAGGACAATAATTTGATAATGCTCAATTATTCTTTGTATTTCCACAGACGTACTCAAATACTTTATTGATATTACTGGCAGGAAGAAATCAAACAAAACCCTGGCACAGTTTCTATGAATAGGCAAAATAAGAAGAGTAATAAGTATTATTTACTAGACTTTTTTTTACTGACCATATTTACCTGGAGAAATTGAAAATACATTTAACATAGTAGAATATACCTTGTAAGATTCCAAAGCATTCCAATGAAGCAAATTCAGTAATTTTAAATATTATTTCCTAGTAACCAGGACTCAAAACATCTTCAGCTTTCAACGTTTTTACCTTGAACATAACCGTTCCACTGAGTGGATATCCTGCCTTCCTACCTCTTGGTTAAATAGTGTCATCTTCCTGAAGATATATGCTGTGTTTCCTTCTTCTGAGTGGCAGGTGACTTGATAGCATCCATAGGATGAACTTTCAGTGGGTTCTGGCCAATACTGGTGACACTTTACCTGACATCAATAGATTTAAGAAAAATATGTAATTTAGGTTCTCCAATTTTAAAATGCTTTAGTTTTTAAAAACTTTCAAGCCTACAGAAAAGTTATAAGAATAATTTGATGAACCCTCATATATCCTGCACCTAGATCTGCCAACTATTAAAATTTCTCATTTTTTCTCTTTATAGTAATAATCTGCTTGGATATATGTTGAGACTGCATATATCCTGTTAATTACAAATTTTCACCCAATGTTTTATCATTCTTGATTAATGCCTGCCTGAATCATCTATTACTATGTGAGTGGCAAAATAATTAACTAAATCTGATTATTTTTAGATTTAAGTAAAAATGAGAAAGAATTTCTAATTAAAATGCCTATCAATTTATTTCCATAATTAGGATATTTTAAAAAAAACAGTTTTACTGTCATACAGTTCAAATACCATATAATTTTCTCACTTAAAGCACACAATTCAACTGTTTTTAGAACTGTGCAACCTTCAGCACAGGCACTTTTAGAACACTTTTTCACTCCCCAAAGAAGTCCCATACCCATTAACAATCACTGTGTGTTCCTCTATCCCAACCCCTTCTTTCACTCTGGACCTAGGCAAGTATTAATCTGTTTTCTGTCCTCTATGAATTTGTCTAACCTGGACATTTCAGATAATGGAATCACATAGTGTGTGGTCTTTGGTGACTGCCTTTGTTCACTTAGCAAAAATGTTCTCTAAGGTTCACCCATGTTGTAGCATGTACCATTTCTTCATTGCTTTTACTGTCAAATGATATACAACCATGTGATTATGTCACATTTTATTTGTTATATTTGGGTTGTTTCCACCTTTGGCGATTATGAATAATGCTGCTATGAACGTCTATATACAAGTTTTTGTGTAGACATATGTTTTCATTTCTCCTGGGTATATCAAGGAGTGAAAGTACTAAGTTATTAACTTCATAGTTTAACCTTTTGAGGAAATGACACTATTTTCCAAAGTGGCTGCATCATTTTACAAATCTACCAGCAGTACAGGAGGTTCCATTTTCTCCACATCACTGAAAACACTTAGTATTACCTATCTTTTTTTTTTTTTTTTTACTTAAATTGTTACTTATTTTTAAACCACCTCTAAAACAATTTTTTTGTAAGGTGAATGCTCCTTTTCTTTTTTTTTTTTTAATTAACATATAATGTATTATTAGCCCCAGGGGTGCAGGTCTGTGAATCATCAGGCTTACACACTTCATAGCACTCACCATAGCACATACCGTCCCCAATATCCATATTATCTATCATTTTTATTTTAGCCATCCTACTGGATAGGAAGTGTGACCTCTTTGTGTGTGTGTGTGTTTTTAAGATTTTATTTATTTGTCACAGAGACAGAAAGAGACCCAGCACAAGCAGGAGGAGCAGCAGGCAGAGGAAGAGGGAGAAGCACGCTCCCTGCTGAGCAAGGAGCCAGACGCAGGACTAGATCCCAGAATCTGGGATCATGACCTGAGCCAAAGGCAGACAGATGCTTAACTGACTGAGCCACCCAAGCTTCCCTCTCTTTGTGGTTTTGATTTTGTATTTCCCTGGTGACTAATGATGCTGAGCATCTTTCATGACATTACCGGACATTTAAATATCTTCTTAAATAAATGAATGAGCAAATGAATAAATGAATAAATAAATACCTTCTTTTTAGAGACATCTACTCAGAATGTTTGGCCAGTAATTAAATTGGGTATTTATCACTTCATTGCTAAGCTGTAGGAGTTCTTTATATATTTACATACAAATCCCTTATCAAATACATACTAATTCATTTAGATAACGGATAGTAATAGTGGCTAACACTTATATATCACAATCATTATGTGTTAGTCACTATGATTTTAATAATACCCCAAGAAAGTTTAAAGGTTACAAAAAAGACTAAATCAATGTGCATATTTTGACCATATATGCAATGTAAGTTGAAAAAAAGTCCAAGCAAAAAAAAAAAAAAAAAAGGAAGGAAAGAAAAGAAAAAAAGCCCAAGCAATGTGTAAAATTTAAGTATGACTTACTCTGCCACGTTCAACTTGTGTGGTCAACATTACAACCATAGAGGAGCCTTGTTCCCAAGTCATCTGCCAAAAATCTGTACAGGTGTGTGGTAATGGCCCTTGACAAGCAATATACTGATTTATAATGCTAGAAGAAGGGATTTCCATCTAAAAAAGCAAAGGACACGAAACTCAAGTGTTTTCATTATTACTTTTTGCCTTGATCAAGTATATTAAAGTCATCCACCAAATAATAACTGAATATAACTAATCTCAATAAAGTGCAAAGTCAGTAAAATAAGCCTTTACCTAAAAAGACAAAAGAGGGAAACAAACCATAAGAGACTCTTAATGATAGAGAACTGAGGGTTGATGGAGGGAGGTGGGGGGGAGGGGCTAAATGAGTGATGGGTATTAAGGAGGGCTCTTGTTACGATGAGCACTGTGTGCTGCACGTAAGTGATGAATCACTAAATTCTACTGCTGAAACCAATATTATACTACATGTTAACTAGAATTTAAATTAAATTTGAAAAAGAACAAAACCCCCACTATCTTTATTAATAATTTATCTGTAGAAGAAATTTTTCAGTATTATACACATTTATCTTTTATTTTTTTCCAAAGCACTCCTAGAGGTTTAAGAGCAGTTTTATAGAAAATCCTCTTTTAGGGTGCCTGGGTGGCTCAGTGGGTTAAATAAAGCCTCTGCCTATGGCTCAAGTCATGATCCCAGGGTCCCGGGATCGAGCCCTACATCGGGCTCTCTGCTCGGCGAAGAGCCTGCTTCCCCCTCTCCTCTCTCTGCCTGCCTCTCTGCCTACTTGTGATTTCTCTGTCAAATAAATAAATAAAATCTTGAGAAAAAAAGAAAACCCTCTTTTAGAGGGTTTAGAGAGACTTGGTACAGAAATAAAAATACTTGTTTCTAAACACCTTATTGGTAAAATTTGCAAGGAGCAAAATTTTTGCCATTTGTTTTAGTTCAGATTTTACATATATATATATATATATATATATATATATATATATATATATATATGTAACATATATATAATACACATAAAAAGATCATAAAAATATTTTAAAATTCATTATTTTCAGGAAGAGTAAGATTATGAGTATTTGGGTAAGATGAGTCATCATCCTACTACATTTTGAGACTTAATGAATAAAGAAGAAAAGATGACACATGCACCATGGCACTAGACGAATATTAAAGAGTGAACAGGGAAAAAGGTCTTCCTTCCTATTCCCAGCCTCCAGTTCACACCCAGGAAAGCAATCCTTTTTTTCTAATTTCTAGTATTTCCTTTCAGAGATACTCTATATATAGCACACAAATGTAGATGCAAAACTGTTTTCTGTAAAACATAAAAAGTAGCTTATAATGTTGTTCTGCACCTTCTCTTTTTATGCCTTATCTTTGAGATATCAGATTAGTACAGAAAATTTTATTTTTAAATATTTTAAGTTTATTTTAAAATTTTATTTTTAATTTTTTTAAAAGTACATAAATTTAATTTTGATTTTATTATTTATTTATTTATTTATTTATTTGACAGACAGAGATCACAAGTAGGTAGAGAGGCAGGCAGAGAGAGAGGGGGAAGCAGGCTCTCTGCTGAGCAGAGAGCCCGATGTGGGGCTTGATCCCAGGACCCTGAGATCATGACCTGAGCCGAAGGCAGAGGCTTAACCCACTGAGCCACGCAGGTGCCCCTAAAATTTTATTTTTTTAATGGCTCTGCATATACCATAATTTATTTAATGAACGCTTAAGTTGCTGGTAATCTATTTGCTACCATAAACAAAGCTGCACTGAATATTTCTGTAACCTTAACATTTTTGTTAGTTACCTCTCTGAAGAGGCTGTGACTATTTATACTTTCACCAACAATGTATGAGGAATGCTTATTCCCTATATTAAGTCTCCTTAATATACTGATAATCCCTCATCCACAATTCTGAAACTCCGTGTACTCTGAAGTGTAAGTTTGGCCTTTTTGGGGTACACCTGACCTAATCTGGACTCATCTGACAGCAGTATCTGACTAATCTAAGGCTACTTATAGTTTTTATGGAGTATCAACAGTTTGCTATTGAGTTTCAATACACCGATTACAGGTTAATGTCTCATAGTCTGCTAGGGACGTTACTTATTACAGGTTATGGTATAGCCGCTGAATAATCTTTAAAAAAAAATAAAAAAAATTCTGAATCCTAAAGTATATTTGACCCCAAGATTTCAGATAAAGGAGATGGACTTGTAAATGATATTGTTACACTCTTTGATATTTCAAGTCTAAGAGGTGAAAAATAGAAATTCCTTCCAATTTTGATTTGCATTTTTCTTTTTGTGAGTTTAGACAAGAGTTGAAACTTACAAGTCTTTCCCTTTCTGAGATTTTAAGCCATTCTCATAGATTTCCTCCAAGTACTTATATGATTCCATTTTTTAACATTTATATTTTGATATATCTAAAATCTGTTACATCAAGAGTGAGTAGGTGAAGTCTTTATACATAAATGATATGAAACTTGGATCTGTTTCAAAACAATCTGGATGTGTAGGGGCATGAACAGTTGACGATTGTTGAACTGAGTGATTTATATATGAAGGTTCACTGTACTTTTCTCTTACTTTTGTATGTTTGAAATTTTCTACATTGCAGAGTTAAGAAGTTAGTAATCCTTTTATCCCAGTAGAAGGGAAGGAAAACCTCCTTACAATGATACAGTCTAGATTACATCTAGATATATTACTCAATCCATTCACTAGATAATCTATTTTTATCTTCAATGATTTAAAAGACCATATCCACCATAAACCAAAGTCTAGTAATTATTTCAGCCTATTTCTGGACTATTCTATTCCACGGCTCGAAGCATATGCCAATATGCCAGTACCAAACTATTTTTTTAACATTAATTTTATACTATTTTTAAGTATCTGAAAGTGTTAATATTCTCTCAAGGTTAAAAGGAACCTCAAAGTTTACAGTAGTCCCTCCTACTCCCAATGACAAAGGTATAATAAAAATAAACTTACATTTATATAATTTGCATTGATATAGTCTTCATTACCCTTTAAAATGACCCGTGTAGCATCATCTGAAAAAAAATTGAAAAGAAAGAATGTTTTGATAAAGTTATGCTAAAAAGATTAACCTTAACAAATAGAGATAGTAGGTACTTACAAGGCGAAATATCTCTGTATCTATTTTTGGAAATATTTTGAGGTAATTTGGCACAAGACATTGTCATTCCAGGTTTCTTCCGATATAGTTGCTGGGGAAAAAAAAAAAAAAAAAAAAAAAAAGGAGGGGGCACATAAGGTTGAGTCCAGCAAGCCATTAAGAGATTATGTTTTGTTTTTCAGGATTATTTCTATGCTAACAACAAGCACTGTTTTTCCCTTAGGATACCTCATCCATACAATGATGTACCTTAGGCTAGTAGGGAACTGAACCAAATTTGTGAAGCTGAATTCTGCACAATTTCTGACATGAATTATATACTGTATTTTTTAAAATGATAAAACAATTGAAAACAATTTTGCTTACAGAAAAGTACCTGAAGTTATGAATAGCAAATCTGCAGAGAACATATAGGTCTCATTTAATTTGGAGAGTTTACATAGTATATGAACCAAGAATTTCTTTTTTTTTTCTTTTTAAAGATTTTATTTATTTGTTAGAGAGAGAGGGCACAAGCAGGGGGAGCGGCAGAGGGAGAAGCAGGCTCCCCGCTGAGCAGAGCCCAAGTCGACTTGGACTCGATCTCAGACTGGGGATTCATGACCTGAGCAGAAGGCAGATGCTTAACCAACTGAGCAGCCTGGCGCCTGGAATAAAGAAATTCTTAAAAGAAAAACTGACAGGTCCTAAATGATTTACAGTCACAAATGTTTTATAGTCACTTACCAATAACACATACTTTAGAGCAACAAATATTAATGATGACAAACTAGACACAAAAATTAGAGAAGGATGAAATATCATGAGGTACAAAAGTTATTTTCTTTTAACTCAGGATTTTTAGCTCTACCATAGCCTATCTTCATCTGCCACCTTTCATAAAAACAGCTATTGAATCACAGAAAAAATTTTAGTTTGATGACATGCATAAAATCTCCTTATTCCTCTCTTTTAAATAGATATTTATGTAACTACAACTAGTATTTTGGGAGCAATGTTTAAAACTATGTATTTTAAAACATGTTTTTATGTCAAATATATCCAGAATACCATTTTAGTTTATAAATTATAAACGATAGATTAGGCAGTTAAGAGACCATGAAACTAATTAGAAAATTCGGCCCAACATCCCTTCCATACAATATTACTTACATCAAATTGTGTCAGGACTGTTCCAGTGATGAGCCCCTCAGCTAGCTGTATCATTGACTCCCGCAGGGAATGGTCATCCTGATGGACACTATCTAGTGGGGCTTTCTCAGGAATATACTGGAAGTCTGGCTCATTTTCCAGCTTTTCTTCCACTACATCATATACAGCTAAAAAAAACAAAAACAGAAACAAAAAAGCCACATGGGAATCTTAATCAACTGGCAAAAAGAATTTACTAGATGTGTTCTTTCATCTGTGTCAGGAAAAAGAATTCATCAGATCAGAGTCTGGTGTCACTGTGGAAGGGACAAAGTGGCTGTGAAGTTGAGCTTTGCTGTACACCTTTAGGGAAAAGGAATGTCATTGGCCATATTGCTGAAAATGTCTGTAACTTGAAGAGACAATTAGAAAAAGAGGAGCTGCCAAGAAGCAGCTCAGAACAGACCTGCCCTTAAATTTCGGACCTAGAATAAAAGTAGAAACAGAAAAGTAGAAACAGGTATATACCATACATCCAGATATGAAAAGACACAAACAACTTGAATAGAGTGCTAAACAAAACCTGTTCTTTCATCTTTTTTCGACACATCTACAAAACCTGGGAGGCCAGAATCCATGATCATGGTAGTATAAAGAGAGCCAGACGACAGACTCTTGGCCTGTAGTCTGCCTTACTTCTTTTCCCACCCTGAACTCCATTCTTTAACACGGGAGCATATGAAAATATGTGCGAACTTACCAGCCCTATGTAAGCTTGTTCTCCACTCCTCTGAAAACTGCTGCCTCTTAGCTACCCTGCTGGCCTTGGGGTATACACACCGTGTGATCCACCCCTGGGAGAATGGACCTAGAGGAAACAGCCACATAGGCCCAAGAAGTGGGATCAGAGCTATCTGGACAGAGAACTGAGGGTCGAAATGAGGTGGTCTAGAAAAGCAGGAGTGGTCACAAGTGATGGCTTGGCATGCCCCCTTGGTCCCACAAAATCCTGATCCCCACAGATTTAAGGGCAAAAGCTGAAAGACAGCCAGAGTAGAACCAAGCCACGAGGCTCTTTTGCCCATGCTTAAGACATCTGGTTCCTGTTCAGATGCATGCACTTTTGAGAAGAATAAACTTCTGAAAAGAAGAATGAAAAGAAAAAAAAAAGTATGATTGCATTTTGTCTAAGAAGGAGATTTAAAGGGGAAAAAACCCAGAAAAACAAGCTGTCTGGTTTTTTGATACTTTTTGTAAATACAGTTTTAAAGTCTGATTATATGTTGTTTTAAATAAAAAGGGACATGACAGACTCAAACTAAAAGAAAATACAGGTCCCAGTCCAGATATTTTCTTTTTTCTTTTTATTTATTTATTTTTTAAAAAGATTTTATTTATTTATTTGACAGACAGAGATCACAAGTAGGCAGAGAGGCAGGCAGAGAGAGGAGGAAGCAGGCTCCCTGCTGAGCAGAGAGCCCGATGCGGGGCTCAATCCCAGGAGCCTGGGATCATGACCTGAGCTGAAGGCAGGGGCTTTAACTCACTGAGGCACCCAGGCGCCCCAGATATTTTCTTTTTTAGAGAAAGCACACACACACGGAAGTGGGGGAGGGTCAGAGAGAGTGCATGCGCAAGAATCTTAAGCATGCTCCACCCCCAGCACTGAACCCCACACACAGCTATATCCATCTCACAGCCTCTGGATCCTGACCTGAGCGGAAATCGAGTTAGATACTTAACCAGCTGTGTCACCCAGGCGCCCCCCACAGTCCAGATTTTGACAACAACAGAAAGATCTTTTACAAGAAAAGCCCTAGGTGGTTTCTGCTCGTAATTTAAAGTATAAATAAAGTGATTTGGAACTGCAAAAAGACATGCCTTTTCCATTATATGGAATTTTGTTCATATTCTGGTTCTGTGTAAATCATTAATTTGTGAGCTGATAACTGAATGTCTTGGTGCTAAAGTGACTTCAACTATAAAATGGGGATAATAATATATCTATCTCATTAGATGGCTGTATAGATTAAATGAGAATATACAAAATAGTCCAGGTGTAAAACTTAGCATTAAGTTCCTTAGGATCTGTTATCAAAAGAAAATGGAACAAACAAAATTTAGAGATTATCCTTAGTATAAAATTTAAGTTGCATTATGTGACAGAAAATGCCTAATAATGCATCACCTAAATATCAGGACTAAATAAAGGAGTTCTTGAAAAGTCAAAATAGAATGTTCTGTTGAAGTCCTTTGAATTTTCTCAGAAAGCCAATTCCAGACCATGAATGCAGAAAAACACAAAGTAGAGAACATAAAATGAAAATGCCTGTTTGTGCCCAAGAGACAAAATGAGTTCTGTATTTTTCTTTTTAAAATGAACTCTCCTGGAAAACTTTGCAGGGTTGGGTGTGGTGGGGTAGGGAATGGGTCAACTTTAACTACATTTTACGTCCTTATGGGATACACTCAACAACTGGTAGCAAGGTATTAACCAATAATTACTTGTATGGCTGAAACTATGATTACTGGCAAACTGTTCAGAACAAAACTAGACGAATGTGTCTAGTGCTGGGATATAGGCATTTAAGAACTCTTCTCTGAGGGGACTGATAAAGTGTTATGGAAACTTGAAACAATGCCCTGTGAACACTGAAGGATGTGGGATTGTTAAACTGGAGAAAGGGGGATTTAACTTATTCTGATTAGTACAGAGGGACAGAATTAGGAACAAAGAGACTGAAAGAAGGTGAATTTTTAGTTCAATTATATGTTCAGGCTACCCAGGGAAAGTGACCTGCTTTAGGAGTCACTGAGTGCTGTCTGCTGCCAGGATGATCTTGAGGCTGTTGTAGAGGAAACTCAAGCAATCAGCAAAAGAGCTAGAGTGCATGGTATTAAAGCTTCTACAAACCTGGAACTCTGGCTGTGAAATAAGAAGTTGGCTGTCCAGATAAGAGATGACATGATTAGGCTACTGGCATTGTCTACTGCCAACAAAGACAGGATTTTTATTTTATTTTATTGATTGAGTTTTCCAAATTTATCTATTTGTTTTTAAAATATTTTATTTATTTGACAGATAGAGATCACAAGTAGGCAGAGAGACAGGCAGAGAGAGAGGAGGAAGCACGTTCCCTGCTGAGAAGAGAGCCCGATGTGGGGCTCGGATCCCAGGACCCTGGGATCATGACCTGAGCCGAAGGCAGAGGCTTTAACCCACTGAGCCACCTAGGTGCCCCCCAAATTTATTTTTATTTTAAATTAAGTTATTATCAGCTTATCTATCTATCTAAGATTTTATTTATTTGACAGAGAAAGAGACAGCCAGAGAGTGAACACAAGCAAGGGGAATGGGAGAGGGAGAAGCAGGCCTCCTGCAGACCAGGGAGCCCAATGCCGGGCTCGATCCCAGGAGCCTGGGATCATGACCTGAGCTGAATACAGATACTTAACGACTGAGCCATCCAGGTGCCCCCAAAGACAGGATTTTTAAAAAATGCTTTAACTACTGGGGCACCTGGGTTGCTCAGTGGGTTAAGGCCTCTGCCTTCGGCTCAGGTCATGATCCTAGGGTCCTGGGATCCGAGCCCCGCATAGGGCTCTCTGCTCAGCGGGGAGCCTGTTTCCTCTCTCTCTCTCTCTGCCTGCCTCTCTGCCTACTTGTGACCTCTGTGTCAAATAAATAAATAAAAATTAAAAAAAAAAAAAAGCTTTAACTACAGCTTGTTACAGAGTTTTCTAAAAGTGGTTCAAAATGTACTTATCTATGTAACATGTGTTTGCTGCATACCTACCACTACTCAAGTAACTGAGGGAAGTGGGAGGCCATTTTAGCTATGGTAGTCAGAAGAGGACTTTCTAGGGATGGCAATTGAGCAGAGACCTGATGGAAGTGAGGGTAAAAGTCCTATCAAAATCAAGGAGATTTAGGGAGAAGGAAAAACAAACAAACAAAAAAAGCCAGCAAAGAATAAAGTGAGCAAGACTGTGGTAGGTAAGTGGCCAAGATTTCAATTTTAATCCAAGTGTGAATAGAAGCCACCGTGCTTTGAGCAGGACAGTGCATGACATGACTTATGTTTTAAAAAGACCACCCTGGTTGTTCTGTCTAGTAACAAATACTAACAGATTATAAAAATACTCAGTGCTGCACAGAATACTTACCATTAGGTCGAACCAGGAGTACAAGTTCCCCAGAATGTCTCTCACAGCTAGCTTTAATAAACAGGACAACTTGATCATGGGTATGTTCTGCAATGTCCCGACCATTGATCAGCACAACTTGGTCCCCTTCATTCAATCGAGGGACACAGAGGTCAGCCTGTAATGTAACATAAATAAGGTTTCAGATGTGCACATAGCTTTCTGAAAATAAAGGACAGGAATTAATTTTTGTAGACTCTACAGCAGGAGAACAAAAAGTACATAAAGAAAAGCATCTATCCATTTATTCATCTCTTTGTAAAAAGCAGAACTCAAGCTTTCCCATGAAGCTACTACTTTTCTTCCTTTTTCTTTCAACAACTTTATTCCTCATGCCTTATTAAATGCCTAGATATACAGATAAGACTAATGGCCTTAAGATGCATAGACAGTGGCAGCCCTTACTCTGCACTGTCCAGGTATGTACAAATTGCAGTTACTACAGTTCAGTTAAATAATACCAGTCTCCCAACAAAGTTCAAATTACAGTTACCACAACACATTAATTGTGAAAACCTGTATAAAGTACGAGCTTTGCTACTAGCTCATGAGTCCACAAATCACTACATAGACAATAGATAAACATCACGATCAGTGACCAATCACATCACTTCTTTCAAAGTCTGCAGGTGATCTGTTGTTGTGCCTCTGTTACTCAGTTCATGCAGAGACAGCAAAGCAGGTATCTGCATCACCTCCTTGTCTCCCAGTGACAAACCCATGTAATTCTAAAGAGGCAACTGGCCAGAAAAATTAAAAACACAGCAAAGAATCAAAAGAGTGATAGTGGTGGAAATAAAATTCAAGTTGAACATAAACCACTGACAGTGGAGATATTGACACGACTACTGTTAGAGAGCCTCCAGACAGGCACTGAAAGGAATTTGGTGGTCACATTTCACAACATTGAAAATGCACTGATAAAATACTGGAAGTGAATTCAAATTTAAAAATGATCAGGACAATTTGCCAACATAAGAAAAATGCCTCCACTGTATTTTAAGTTATACGACAAGAAGGGCAACATTCCACTGTTCAAAGTACTTGTGGTAAGTTTCCACAAGGATAAAGAACACTTTATTTCTCAGTGTTTCTAGTGTGGAGCCTGCTTAAGATTCTTTCTCTCCCTCTCCCTCCCTCCACCTCTCTCTACCCCCACCTCTAAAAAAAATTAAATTAAAAATTAAAAACCGGATCAAACATACATGTGGAGCAATATGCATTTTTCCATTATTTACTCATTTCAAATGCAAATTTAATTAACATACAATGTATTAGTTTCAGAGGTAGAGGTCAATGATGCATCAGTTTTATATAATACCCAGTGCTCATTATATTATATGCCTTCCTTAATGTCCATTACCCAGTTGCCCCAACCCCCCTCCCCCTCCCCTCCAGCAACCCTCAGTTTGTTTCATATGATTAAGTTTCTTACGGTTTGTCACCCTCTCTGATTTCCTCTTGTTGCATTTTCTATAATGCTATCTTATGAATATATTTCCATACTTATATGGAGCTACATCATTCATCATTTCAACAGCTGCAAAGTAGCATACAATTTATTTCACCAACTCTAATGAGGTACATTTTGGTCACCCCATCTTTATTATAAACAATATTACAATGAACATCCTTGTGTATCCTTTGTTTCCTAGTCCAACTTCTTCATTAGAGGCAACTGCTAAAAGTGGAATCAGTGGGTCAAAAGATATTTGATTAAAAAAAACAGTAAATTTGTTTTTAGTAAAGTTATATATCACACAGCTCAGAGAATTGACTAGGTCTATAAGATTACTAAGACAAGAAACAATTTCTTGTACTCCTCTGTACCATTCTCCCACGCCAGGCAACTTCTTTCAACATTTTACCTACATCTTTTGTATCTACTTCGGTATCTCTAAATAACATCCTCATTTTGTTTTTCTTCAGTTTTTTCATTTTATTCTTATTTTTTAAAGATTTTATTTATCTCTTTGAGAGAGAAACAGAGAGAGAGCACAAACAGGGGGAGAGAGAGAGGGAGAAGACGACTCCCTGCTTAGCTGGGAGCCCAGCACGGGGCTCGATCCCAGGACCTAGAGATCATGACCCAAGCCAAAGGCAGATGCTTAACCATCTGAGCCACCCAGATGCCCCTTTAGTTTTCTATTTTAGACATTATCTACAGGTGAGAATTAGCGATCTTTAATCTTCTCATCTGTAGTCTGTCCCAAATACATATTTCCCATTAAGTATGTACTAATAAATAATTTTGACTATTTCCTCTATCTATGTCCCCATCCTTCACATGTAGAATAGCTTCAGGAGGCATTTTATACATCATATCCCTATCCTGTCCCCACTGCCCACAAGTGATTTGTTGAAAAGTAGACATCTGCTATGAGCTGGATCTGTGAAGGACTTCCCAGGAGTCTGTAAAATTGGACTGAGGTTTAATCCCTCTAGGTGGCTGGGCTGGTAATATATGAATCTGGAAGTTACCATTAGCCCATCATATCAACTGAGGAGAATAATGGTAGCTATACAATTTCTCTTTAGTAGAGATGCAGGGGTCACAATCATATGGTGGTGATGTTATAGGACTAACCTGAATCTGTTACTAAGAGCACTCTTTTTATTTAGACTGAATTTTATTTAGAGGAGCGAGAGAGATGAGGCTGATTCCCTATACAAATTGGTTTGCAGTGAGAGAGAAAAATGGAACATGCAAAGAACTAGAGATGAAATATTTAGAGTCCTGATGTTCATTTTAAAGTTTTGTTTTGTTTTGTTTTCCCCCTAGAGATCTGATGGCAATCCTATCCTTGGGTTTTGTGAGAAAACTCTACAGCTATATGATTAGGTGTACGACTTTGTATTTATGCTTAAGCCAGGGATATCGTAGAGTACCCTGTTATTTGCAACCAACAAAGTTCTTAACAACCAGAACCAAAACTATGTATCATGATATCCCTGATCAGTCTTGACTGTGATCTTCAAACTAATTTTAAGGTTGCCGCGAAGCACCAAAGAAAGCATAACTGGCCTTTTTCTCTCAGGGTGCTGGTTTATACCTGTCCTAGGACAGAGAGACAGGTAAATAATAAAAGGTGCTGATTGTAAAGTCCTTGAAGACCATTTAGGTAAAGTAGGCAACAACATAAATGGGAATTTGAAAGCAGTATTTGCTACATATACAAGCAGTAAAGATAACACATCCACAATTAAGAGTTATCCTTATGATGAACAGAAAGTTCTTGAGTGCTAAAGGTGAATGAAGGGTACAGAAGGGTTCATCATAATGGGTACCTAGACTTCCCTATACTTTTGTTCAAAATGTTTAATATAGTATTTTTGTTTAATATGTTTCAGTGAAAAATTTAAAAACTGTTCTATAGGGAAAACACAGGTATCATTTCTATTTAAAGTAGATTTTTTAAACAAAAAATTTGCAAATAGACTGTAGATAAATAATTTTAAATGAAAAAAAAAGCAAACAAAAAAGAAAAACAAATACTATACTGTCTACATTTTGCTATTTGAAGGAGTTATTTTGATAGAATCTTTTAAAACTTTAGAAACATTGAAAGTTATATATAGCTTCTTTACAAAAACAAGGGTTTTTAAAAAACTCCTACAGACTGGAAATAAAAATGAACTTCCCAGCAATTTAAGAGATTTAGCCAACATTTGATACTTGAGGAATTAAAAGAAATGATTAATTTATTCCTTTATTTAAACTAATAAAAATTAAATGAGTACATTTTCTTGAAAACAGGATTTACTTGCAAGATTTAGATAACTCACAGGTGTTCCTGGTGCTACTCGGGACACAATCACAGGCATCTTCTGATCATACCCTCCCTGAACAACAGAACAAGTCAGATATCAGCCAAATATTACAAAATAAACACATCTTAATTTAAAAACCTGTACAATGTAAATTCTAGATTACCTTTACATTGAATCCAAACCTTCCATTTTCATCAGGTTTCATTCTGATTAGAACAAGATTATCTTGTGGAATACCACCATTAGGCTTAAAAAGACAAAAATAAATAACTTGTAATTTTGCCCATTTATAATCTCCCCTCAAAGATATACATGATGTACTTTTTGTATGTTGATATTATCTGTAGTGTATAAAAATCACAATTTAAATTCCAATGTTAACTTAGGAAAGTAAATTTTGACTAATAACTTGCAGTTACACCAAGTAGATACAGTCTCCTTGCCCCTGCATGCTAGGTTAAGTTTAAGGAGAAACAGGCATTATGAATTAAGTTATTAACTGCAATATCTCTGAAACCTAACTCAAAGCTCTGCATACAATAAGTGTTCCTAAGTGTTACATGAATTCACATTCCTTCCTCTGCTTTTTAAAAAACAGTTTTATTGGGAATTCACATTCTTCCCTATAATCACTTCTAATTATATTACCTTCAAACTGTCTTTCTCCTTGCTCTAGACCCAGGCCCTCTTCCAAATTCAAGGATATTGCTACAGCAATTCTCTACTCTTCTACATTATCCATTTCCTCCACGCTTCAGAGAAATACTCTTACTTCTTCCCTCCCAAAACAAACAAACAAACAAACAAAACCCTTTTTCTCTGGATTCTACCTCCCCATCTGTCTCCTTCCTCTTGCTATTAAAGTTCTTTAAAAGAGTTGGCCACATTTGCTATCTCTATTTCCCCTGATCCCAACCTCCCACAGTCAGGTTTTTATCCCCAGTGCTCCATCAAAACTGTTCTAATTAAGGTCACCAAAGAGCTTCACATTGCTAAATCCAGCGTTCAACCATCAGCCCTCATCCTACTTGACAAAACTGGTTATTCTCTCTGTGACTTTCTTCCCGTCAGCCAGTTAGCCAGTGGACTCGTTTTCTTCCTACCTTGCTGTCTCCATCTTCTCAGTCTCCTTTGCTGGTTTCTTCATCTCCCTAATGTTGACATTTTGAAGGCCCAAAGGCTCACTTTCTAGAACATCTTTTATTTAGTCATCTGCACATACCACACTCCCTTGGTGTTGTCTTCCTGTCTTGTGGTTTTACATACTGTCTATAAGCCACCAAACCTCAATGTTTTAACTCTAGCTTGGACCACTCCTTCACCTCCAGAATCCTCTCTGTAAGTGGATTTCTAGTAGCCATCTCAAACTTGGCATGCCCCAAACCACGCTCCCGATAGTCCACCTATGTCTGCTCTACATACAGCAGCCTTCCACATCTTGGAAATTGGCAACTTCATCCTCCTAGTTGTTTGGGCCCAAAACTTTACTGTTATCTTTGATTCCTCTCCTTCTCCAGTACTCTACACACAACCCCTCAGCATATTATGTTAGCTCTGTTCTCAAACCACCCAGAATACAACCATGTTGTCCTCCTTCCACTGCTGCCAGCCAGATCCAAATCACCTCACGTCCCTGGAATACTGTACTACCTCACAACCAGTACCTTTACTTCTGCCCTGCTTTCGGTCTGTTTTCAAGACAAGAGCCAGACTGATATTGTTACAACTTAAGGGACATCATGCTGCTTTTCTCCTCAAATGTGTCCAATCCTTTTTGCTTCCTATCTCAGATTAACTCAGGGATAAAAAAACAAAATCTTTAAAGGTTGTGGGGATTTGGCCCTCTCCTCTTCATTAGCTTTTTTCGCTCTGGCCACACTGACTCCCTTGGTGTTCCCCGACCGTATCAGTCACACTCCTTTTGTACCTCTATTCCCTCAGCTCACCTGCTCTCCCACTAGATAGCTCTATAACTCATCACTGAATTCATGCCTGGCTTCCACTATTTTAACTTGTGGCACTCTACTCTTGAAATTCTCTGACCTCTTCCTGCTTTATTTTTCTCCTTAATCTAATATGCTATATATTTAAATGACTTACCTTGTTTACCGTTTGTCTCACCCTTATCCCCAGAATGTAAGTTCCTTGAAGGTAGAGTTTTTTGATTTTTTTCCTCCCTATTTTATTCCGATATATTCCCACAGCCTATAATAATACATGGTACACAGCACGTACTCAATAATTAATTTTTGCATGAATGGACAAATTAGACTGTAGATTATTTAACAGCAGGGACCATGTCTTATTTGTCTTTATATTCCACTATCCTCCAAAAGTACCCAGTATATAGAAAAGACCTCAATGACTATGAACGAATTAATGATACATGAGAATCACCACAAAGATAATACCATAGCTGCTGTTCATTTTTGGGAAGGATTCTCATTTTTTTTTGATGTTTGTGATGGTAGAGCAGTAAGTGTTGGAGAATACAGTGGCTGCCTCTTGCTTTTCAAACTTTAGATACAAAAGGGCGATGAGAGCATGGTCACTGGAAACTTTTAGTACTGCCAATGCCTGCTGTGGACCTCCAATCCTGCACCTTATTTTATTCCCTGATGTCCTGTAAGTTTCCTGAAATACACCCATATTTGTCTGTTTTGATACTTCTTCATGAACACAGTGTATCCCTAAAACTTACTGGCAATCTCACCTTTGGTTTATTTACATCTACTTGAGAAAGCAATGTTAATTCATAAATCAGAGGATTCTAAAAGTTACCATTTAGTTGTGGTAAAAGCATATTCTCTAAGGGAAAAATACCAACATAATTCATAAATATATTTTACAGAACAGAAAGTAATCATATACTCCAGGGATGTGTACTCAATTTCAAAAAGTTGATGAAAATGATAGTCTCTGCATTCAGTGAATTATATAATAAAGTTAGTGGTATTTAAAGCATTAGTAGCATTTGTTCTGAAATGTGTGTTTTGCAAGACTAAAATCAACATAAATTTGTCAAGAATGAACTTTTAGAACAACGATAAAAGGAAATCCCACAATTGGGTTATATCATGGCAAATTTCAGGAGCAACATATGATGAAAAAGAGGAAGTACACTAATATAATTTACAGACAAAACATACCACAGTATAAATAATTTCACTTCCAATTAAAAAATTTCAAAGAAATGTGAGAATATCTGAAAGCTACTTACAGTAGATTTTTCAGGGGAAGATGGAACATCAAATGTTTCGTTAATATGGTTTTCTAGATCTTGTTGAGAATATGAATAATGAATTTGGTTCCAGCTGTTTTTCTTTGATTGTTTGGGTGGTAAAGCTGGAGGCTGCCCATCTCCAGGGGTCTCCTGTGATCTGGACAGGAAAAAGGAAAAAAAATGAGTATTTGGAAGCTGTCTTCTAGAACTGTTATTTTAAAAGCTAGTTTCAGGGTGCTTGGGTGGCTCATTTGGTTAAGCAGCTGTCCTGGGCTCCGGTCGTGGTCCTGGGGTCCTGGGATGGAGCCCCACATGTGACACTGGCTCCCTACTCAACGGGGAACCCGCTTCTCCCTCTGCCCCACCCCCCGCTGCTTTTCCTGCTTGTACTCTCTCTGTCAAATAAATAAATATCTTAAAAAAAAAACCACCAAAACCTAGGGTCAAAAACAAAACAAAATAAAATAAAAGCTAGAGTCAAGCAACTCTAATATTTACAATGTCTAGTAGGAGATAAGCTTTAAATACCATGTTTACAAGAGCTACCGTTTAATGAAAACTTTCTTAACTTGCAAGTTTAAATTGTACATTGTTTAATTCCCTACCTTATCAAATCTGTAAACAATTCTACATAATAATCAAATACACTTTAAGGATATCATGATGAAGATATCTATTAATCTACTATAACAGTACACACTTTTCCTAAACACTTTTTTAAAATAAGGTTATCAGTGGAGTCACATGGGTAGCCAGGGAAAAAGGCAGTCAAAGGGAAATCAGAATTGAGAGTTGAACTGTCCCACAGATAAAACACCTGGTACAATCTAGAGAACTTGTGATTGATCCACTTTACTTAGAAATAAAACACAAGAGACACCTGGGCGGCTTGGTCACTTAAGCGTCTTCCTTTGGCTCTGGTCATGATCCCAGGGTCCTGGGACTGAGAACCGCACTGGGCTCCTTGCTCGGGGCGGGGAGAGTCTGCTTCTCCCTTTGCCTGCCATTCCCCCTGCTTGTGTTCTTTCTCTGACAAATAATAAAATCTTAAGAAAAACACCATTCATGAAAGTAATGAACTGCAACAAAGATTAGAATCTGAGTAAGAGTGCTGAGCTCACTAAGGAGATAAAACTGGACAAGACATTGTTGGAGTATGTAATTTAAAGAAACAAAATCCAGTTAACATTAGGGAGCATAAGCCTCAATTTGTGATGGCAAGAATTGATAAAAAGAGCTAGGTAGGAAAAGCTTCAAGGAAAAAACAGCTTTTTTAAGAACCAGCATAGTGTATGTAAAAATATTACTTGTGAGTTTTCCACAAAGGCCAGAAGAGGGAACCAGTGGCTCAGCTGGCATCCTAGGAAGCACACATCCATGGAGGTTGTGGGAGTGAGGAAAGTGAGGCAAGGAGAAATAGTTGATAAGAGTAGTGACCATTTCTGAGGTTATTATTTATCTCTATGACGCCAGGAGGTCTTTGGGAAAATAATTACTGTCCCATTGCCCAAGGTCTCAGAGAGCTGACAGCTGCTGTGTCAAGTTGCATGGTTGCTGCGTACTACAGGCACGGATTTCACTCAGTTTCTGCTTTTTTGTTGAGGGAAAATAGTTGCCTAAGATACGAGCTGTAAGGTCCTGAGGAAGTGGAACTCCATTAGACTGTACTCTTGTTTAAAAATCATTCTCCAAAGACAACTATCATATGATCTCCCTGATATGAGGAAGTGGAGATGCAACATGGGGGGTTAAGGGGGTAGGAGAAGAATAAATGAAACAAGATGGGATTGGGAGGGAGACAAACCATAAGTGACTCTTAATCTCACAAAAAACTGAGGGTTGCTGCAGGGAGGGGGGTTGGGAGAAGGGGGGTGGGGTTATGGACATTGGGGAGGGTATGTGCTATGGTGAGTGCTGTGAAGTGTGTAAACCTGGCGATTCACAGACCTGTACCCCTGGGGATAAAAATATATGTTTATAAAAAATAAAAAATTTAAAAAAACATCATTCTCCACCCTTTCGGGTTGACATTATTAGGCTTGGCCATATGACTTGCTCTGTCCAATGAAATGTGAGTAGAAGTGGTCACTTTTGAAAGGACACTTTAGGAAACAGCTCATGATTTATTGTGCTTTTCTTTTTCCTTGGCCATGAGACTAGTCACGCCCCACACAAGAGTGTGGGTCTTGGAATGGACATGACATGGAGTATCATGGATGATCCATGATACACATATAATGTAAGAAAGAAATAACCTTTGTTGTTATGAGCTGCTAAGAGTTCGGGTAATTTGTCACCACAGCAAAATTTATCCCAAGAAAATGGATACAGAAATTAGTGTCAGAGTGGCTCTTTGATACATATGCTCTCCCTAGGTAGAGAAGGTTGTGAAACTTACTTAGAGGCTCACTGCTAAATATCTGGTAGATACAGGTAATGAAGCTAAAAATTTTATTAGTGCCAAGGAAGTCAGCCAGGTTTAATGGTTTAAATGTATGGTCCTCCAGAAATGTTCCTCTTGAGAGAAAATATAGTCATTCCAAATTTTCAGAATGTAAAATAAAATTTAATCATTAGGGGTGCCTGGGTGGCTCAGTTGTTGGGCATCTGCCTTCAGCTTGGGTCATGGTCCTGGAGTCCTGGGGTCAGGCTCCGTGTTGGGCTCTCTGCTCGGCAGGGGCCTGCTTCTCCCTCTCCCACTTCCCCTGCTTGTGTTCCCTCTCTCGCTGTGTCTCTCTTTGTCAAGTAATAAATAAAAATCTTAAAAAAAAAACAAAACAAAAAACCAAACTTAATCATTAAAAAAGTAGGTAAGCCATAGTGCCCACTCAGTCTAACTTTCTACATAGAAGTCTTCAGGGAACAAAATGCTCTAAATTCTGAGAAGTCTGTAAGGACTGCATCAAAGAATATACCTTTCTCCCCCCCCCCCCCCCCCCAGCAAAGCCTTCTTTGAGGTCTACCTTGATGGTCAGGGATCCAGGTACCAAGCCCAATAGTTTTTATTCTATTAGTTTCAACTGCCAAGAGCCCAAGCCTTTAAGATCCAATACATTCAAGTGTTGCTAATCCAGGAAAATGTTCCCACAGATGAGAACAGGGACATGGACCTCAAACATGGCCTGCCGGAAGGGATCAGGACACAAAGATGGATATCCTCTCACAGAGCCTCATAGATGTGACGTTTCTAAAAAGCAGTTGGTCAAAAGCCTCTAAGACTTTACAAAAACCAGAATTCACTGGACTCCACATCTATCAATCAATAGGTCTCAATCCCTTGCTGAGGGTTAAGCATGACCAGGTGAATAGAAAGTTTTTTTTTCTAGTTTTGCATATAGCTGTCACACTCAGGAAACGGCCTCAAAACTGAAGATCTACAGGGCATAGTAGAAGGTCGCGATCAGAAGGGAATGGAGTTAGAGCAACTTACTTTATTCTTGGTCTAGTAAACAGCCTAATATATAACAATTCTAAAATACACAACAGGGACAAACTCAAGCCTGACTTGTAAAGCAACATCTTAAGTGAGCCAAATCTGGTGGGTATGGGTCTAACAGTGACAATGCTCAGTTACAAGATAGAGAAAGTACTGACATTATGGGACATTCTGCTAAAACTGATTAATCTAAATTACTGGCACTAAAGATTAGGCATATACAGTCAAAAAAGCTCCAGGAGTGATTTTATTATGCACTGCTAATTAGAGATCATTGTCCTGTAACACTGGTTGCATATTCATGGCTGGCGGGCAAATTTTAGCCAACATAATTTAGCCCATTATTTTTTCTTTATAAAATATGAGTTAATTGGCTACATTTAAAAACTTACATATGTATCTGGATTTCCAGAATGGAAAATCTGGAAGCTCTGGAAAAAATGAAACTGCATTATCACTGGTCAAAGCCAAGAATGAGCTGTTGCCTTTAGATGGGCCATTGGCATCCCAGTCCACATAAATCTCACCCAGGGTTACTTGTGAGATTCCAGTAGGTATTTGAGTTGAACCTCTCCTTTAAACATTCAAAGTCCACAGGAAAACACAGAAAGGAAGAGAGCCAAGCACACAGGCTTGAGTTGGGATTTAAGACAAGTTCTAAAGAAAAGGTGAGAGAATGCAGCATGCACAGCAAGATTAGTCAAGACAGAACACAGGGACAGAACACAGGAAAGAACACTGTAATTTCAGACTTCAGGAAAAGGGCTATCTGCTTTCTCTCATTGTTTTAAGTAACTTTGGTGTTAGAATAACTTCTCAGAGCCTGATGGTCAGGCTCTCCAGATGTCAGACTGTTGCAGAGGAATAGACTGGTCTGGGAGCTTTTACAAACTAATTATGTGCTTTCTCAGTAATCCCAGTAACTATTTGCCCTTTATATGTCTCCATGTCCAATAACCAAAGTCCATCTATATCTATCTATCTACTTGCGTCTCTAACCAATACAGTCTACCAAAGTAATCAAGGATGTCAGCACAGAACCCTGAAATACTTACTTTTTAAAAAAAAGATTTTATTTACTTAATTGACAAAGATCACAAGTAGGCAGAGAGACAGGCAGAGAGAGAGAGAGGGAAGCAGGCTCCCTGCTGAGCAGAGATGTGGGGTTTGATTGCAGGACCCGGAGATCACGGAGATCACGACCCGAGCTGAAGGCAGAGGCTTAAACCCACCGAGCCACCCAGGTGCCCCCTGAAATTCTTATTTTGAACAAAGGTCATCAATTACATTTTAAGACATATTCCAAGTGTATTAATTCAATTGATCTTAACAAATAACTTCCTACTTCGTATCTAATGTAGAGATCATGAGTATAGTTAATTACTTACTCAATTACCTAGGAAGATGACTTTCATAGGTAAACCATGAATTATAAATTAAAATCCATTTAAAATAATTTCATAAAATAGACCAATTCTAAAAAAAATACCGTTTCTAGGCAAAAGTAAAACAAAAAATCCCCACAATTGCTAATTATATAAGAATAAAGAGATATCATATACGTTGGAAGAACAACCAGGCAGCAGAGTGGAACACAGCCACATCAGAAATAATTCCCCTGGGGAAAAAAAAAAAAAGAAATAATTCCTCTGAGAGAAGGGACCTATGACTTAAAGAGAAAGCCAGCATCTATCAGATAGTTCAGACAGGACTAGGAAGAT